AGGTCAGCTGTAAGAATGGGATACAGAAGATTCTGGAAGGTTTAGTACAAGGTCAAAGGTTCCCTATATGAGTGAACCACTTTAAAGACTTAGTAACCATGGCATATTTGAACCAGTATCAACTGGGGCATCTTGGTAGATGTAGGTAGATGGGTGGATATGAAAACAGTGCGGTTAAATAGGGAACCTACAAGTGGGTTTCAGGTATAGCAACTAGTGTAAAACCTTCGGGCGGACTACTTAAATTAGACAATGACTAAAGTTGTATAAGTGACTAGTTGTACACTCTTTTCATGGTTGCCTTCTGTGGTTGTAATGCAACTATTAGCTGAATGTACTATCAATAAAATTCTAGATCACAAGTACTCACCTTAATATTAAAAAAAAAAAAAAAAAAAAAAATATTAGAAGTTGGAAGAGTCCTGTCAGTTCTAAGTAACAGTTAGTAAGGGATGATAGAGAAGACATTGGAATAATAGATACTGAGGTTCTAGTAAACTTTACAAAAATAAAAATAGTATAATGTAGCAGTTAAACAGGTAACTTCTGTGATTGCAAGTATTAAGTAAGTATAGCATATTACATAAAACTAGATTAGCTATATATGAGATACAAAAGGTTTTAGTAAGTTTCTTGTCAAAGATAAACTAGTTCTAAGGATCTCAAAAGCATTAGATATTTTGGATAAGTGTAGCCCAGAAGATGTCTCTGTGATCACAAGTTAGATTATATATGCAGAGAGTTTAAATAAACAAGACTCATAGTTGGCTTATAGGTATAGCACCTAGTGTAGAACCTGTATAGTAATATATAGGCAGACTACTTAAATTAGACACCAAAAGTGCATATGTGGCTAGTTGTAACCTCCTATGTATGAAAGCCTCTGGAGGCATCTATGTTTAAATACTTGAATAAAAAAATTAATCCTTAAAGATAGGAACTTTAACATTAAAAAAAAAAATAACAATAATAATTGCAATTAATTAACTAATTATTATTGTATTACTAATTAATTGATTGAGTTCAAAAAATTAGAATTAATTGCTTCTACAATTAATTATTTAGTAAATTCATAAATTTATTTTAGTATTAAATTTTAGTATTAATCTTAATATTTGCTAAAATTTTATTTGTTTATTTTAATAAAAATTATTTTAATTTATATATTATATAATCTTATATTTTAAATATTTGGTATTTAATTATTTTTTTTATTAATTAAAATTATTTATTTGTAAATAATTATATAGAAAAATATTAGTAAAAACCAAACAAATTGATTTTAGTATTTTTTTAACTTTAAATTAAAATCTTTTTACTAACAATTAAACCAAACTTAATATTATTTAATTTTATAATTATATAAAATTAAATAAAATTTTTTATAAAATTTGAATTAATAATTAGTAAAATATTTTAATTCAAAATTTTAAAAATTTTATTTAAAAATAATTTATTTAGTTTCTATTAATACTTTTCTATATACATATAAGATAATTAAAAATAATAATAAAATCAATTTAATTTATATTATACAAACTTTTTAACCCTAATTAATATATATTATAATATATTTATTTTACAAAAATCTAATTTTTTTAAAAATATCTAAACTAATACGTATATAAATTTATATAATTTTAATATAACTAAATACAAAAATAGCTAGATTTTTTAACTATATATTTATTTATTATAACTACAATATATTTAACTTCAAAATAATTAGTAAATATATTAGTATTCTTCAAGTTCATGATCATCTTGTAACATAAAATTTCCGAGTTCACTAATTAAAAGAGGTGTAAACCTATTTCTAAAAGGACTATACATTAGCCCAACTACAGGATCTGTATGATCCATTCCATTTACTACTCTAAGTCTTAAATCTTCAATATTTAAATCACTTAACACCATATTAAACCTCAAAGTTGAATCTATTGGAACAGTTTCATCCTATAATAAAATATTATTAATAATTGTTGACAATTTAAAAACCTAATAAAATTATAAATAACCACAATACCATATCACCATGAATTAATAACATTTTTTGAGGTATTAGCTTCTTTAACTTATTAATATCAACTTCTCTATCTTTCATTGCACTTTGAAGAAGTAATGTTGGGGAATTCATTTCAAAAGTTTCAGGTGTGTCACCTACAATTAAAACAAAATTTATGTATTTTTTATAAGAATAGTGAATAAGAACCGGTTTAATCGGTAATCGATATGTACAGATACTGTAACTACTGACTAGTGTACCCGAACATTTACAAAGACTAGTATATTTTCATTTCGTTTTACTAGTCATCGAAGTTTTATACCTCTTGAATATTTTATGAGGTATAAAGTAGGATTCTACAAGTGCCAGGCACAATATTTTTAAATAGTGCTGTGCCCGATACTTGTAGAACTCTATTAAAGAGGTACTTTTTTGAAGTATACAATTGTACTCAAATTTCAGCCCTAAAATCGTCTTAGGACGGTACAAATAATGTATATTTACAATTACTCTCGCTAGTAAAACTACTAAAGATTAATATGTTGCTGGAAATCTATAATCTCTATAACTTTTTGTAGGTGAAAAACAACTGATAGTTTTATATTCTGAGTGGAGTTCTGTAAAGCCATTAGTCAGTTTGGAAAATTCTATAAAAATAAATTTTTCAAATCGTTATAAATTTTTACAGACCGATAACCTTGTAGAATTCAATTTGAAACATAAAGTTATGAATCTTTTTTTTTTTAAAAAAAAAATTCTTTCGGAAGATTTAGCGTTTGGAGTAAGTTGATCGTGTGATCTGAAGTTACAGATTTCCGGTAACATAGTAATAATAATAATAATGATCTGGCCAATGGCTAAAGAGTCGCTGGACAGTAGTAGACAATTAAAAAAAACATACCCATAACACGGCTCATGGGAGAAATCTCCTCAACACCACGTTTAGTTTCCCAAAGATAATGTCTTCCTATATCATATACACCTAATGTATTCAAATAAAACTATCAATAAGGTATTCATACTATATTTATATGTAATGCAAAATATTTAACATTACCAGACAACCTAATAATAAATATATTCGTAGCTTAAATGAGTCTTACTACCCAACAGAAAATAATAATTATAATTTGGAAGATGAATAAACTTACAAAATAAGTCCAGTAACTTTAGGAAGTTCTAATTCAGGATCAATATCATTTAGATTTGAGCTTACTCTTCCTTCCATAGTTTGGGATTTAATAATTGAATCACGAATTGTAATAAGGGATGCAAGGTGAGCGCCTGCAGAATGACCCTATAAAATTAAAGTATAAAGCATAAAAATTAATGTAATTATAACTATTTTTAATTATTGTTGCTAAAAAATAATTTACCATAATGTAAATTTTATTTGGGTCACCGCCAAATTTACTTTTTATGAGTAGAACAATATTAATACATGTGCGCATAAGTATTGAAACAAGAGAATCTTAAAAATATGCGAACTTACTTGATGAATCTTTTCGTCCATACCAAAGTGCGTTTAATGTCAGACAACATAACATCAACCTTCGCCTATACAGTTGTAATATGATGTTTATATAAACGTCCTGAATAAATATTTTAGTACCAATATGTCAAGTTCACAGACCTTAGGATATAAAGTATAATTCGGTACGACCACTACATATCCCATTTGTCTTAAACGCAAAGCTAATAAGCTGTACCATATTTTATCTCCTATAAAGTAATAAGCAAATTTGTAAAAACGAATGGAAACTCTTGAAGAACAAATTTTGAATAAGAAATACCTGAACCCCAAGAACCACCATAAACAAACACAATTACAGGATGAAATGCCGCATCAAATATTTGAGGATATTTTGAAGTGTCAGGAATATAGACATCAAGTCTATTGCAATTCGTACCACTACCATAATAAATATCCTCCCTTTACAACAGTAAAAAAGATTAATGTGTTGTCGTTATGTTGATGAAAATGCAAAATATAAATAATTAAAACATTAAATAAATAATAAATACTTTATGATGCGTCTAATTCGTTTTCCTAGCACAAAAAATTTAAAATACCCATATTCAGCAAACAAAGGTATAAACATAATAATACTTGTCCACAGCATGGAGAAGAAAGCGTAGTTGATTTTGAATATACGCTTGGGATTGTAGGGAAGATGAAATGATCTGTCAGTTTGACCTATTTTACGCATTTAAAGTAATTAGTTAAGACATACAGTATACGTAGGATTTTAATATATACGACAAGACTTACCAGCATATAAATATACTATCCATGCTATGCTATATGCACACACTAATGTCATTCAAAATCAATTACATTTGTCATTAGGCGAATTTTATGATAATAAATGAAAATTATCGCCATAACCACTTAACCTACCAATAACACTGAAAGACACGATGGGCAAGAAGACCCAGCCAAACAATGCGAATGGTGGGACAAACATTAGTATTAAAAATGTTGAACCAACTAGATAAGACCCGCATAATACTATAATTAACGCGTGACGAAGTATGTCAATGTGTAATCCTGCCATCGTTGTTGCTAATAATGACGAATATTTGACGAAGAAAGTTAAAGGATTTTACAGTAGTTAATATCTTTAAAAATTATTCAGAAGAGCATAAAATTATTAGGTATGAACTTCTATCAATAAAATTATAAACTTCGACAAGAGGACATCGATAGACGAAAAAATGTCACCAAACATTCTTATTTATGAACGAATTAGGCCAGTGATCTGTTTGTGCAATCTTTATCGTTATTTTTCTAATACAAATTGATCAAAATTTTTTAAATTGATAAGATCAACTGATTGATTTTTTAAAAAATCCAATGCTATAAACTAAACTAAACTTTAATAGCACAAAACTATCAGATACTAATTAAATCATGTTTTTTAATCGTAAGTGAATATATATATATCGATATCTAAATATTAAATTTTTTTTTCTGCTAGATGATTTTAGATGAAAAATCCGTCACACATTACACGCTCCTATAAATCCACTCAATATTTATCCATATACGTACATACAGTAGTTAGATATCTGATATTACAGATATTTCTTTCGCTTTGATATCGACCATTTTCTAAATATTTTAGGCACGATGTCATCATTTGCAATAAATCTATTGATATCAAAGTTAAATAATAAAGATAGTGCAGTCTTAAAACATTCGCCTATGAGGTAGAGCATATTCGTGATGAGTACCCGTTCGGTTCACATTGGGATTACCTCCCTTACTTGTTCTTCATGGACTCATGAATAACTATTTCTGGAGATCTCTCAATCTAAACCAAAATAGTTTAGCATGAAATTGAATTACAGAAAGGGAAAACCTGTAAATTGATTAACCTTATCGGACTCGACCCCATAATAAATTGATTAAATATGATCAAATACGTGCAAAATTATTCGTTCTAGTCGCTTCGATAGGATGTGCTTTGGTCATCAAACATTTTTTACGGAGAAATTATTCGACCTGGCAACTCTTAAAAAAAAGGGGATAATTAATGTATTCTAGAACTAATCACATACAATAGAATCAGATTCAGTCGTTCATCTGTCTATCCGAACATGTTAAACTCATATTACGTAGGGAAGATCACCGCTATGGCGTGATTGTCAGCCACAACATAAAAGTTTGCATGTCGATATACAAATTTAGTTAACGCCTAAAATCCCAAACTCCAAAGTTTGGATGACAACTATCTTTGTATACAAGCATATATTGTACTGTTCTCTTGTAGAATTCCTCATTTACTAGTTTTAAAAACGTTAATAATGCTAAGTTCGTTCGCTTTTAGTTTCATAAATGACCAGCATTAATATCAGAACTATCGATTTGCTGTTTTCGAATCATCGAATTTACTATAGTCTGTAGTAGTGTGTTGATATCAATCGAAAAATTGATTAATCGAATTTAAAACTTTCGAAGCAACTGGGTACTAGTTAAATGATTATCTACTTCGGAAAGAATGTTTTTTTACCAATAAAATTATTAAAAAACATGTGACGACAACGAAAGTTGGACCAACTGATCGATTAGAAAAACTTTGCCGATTCGGATCGAGTACCTTTATGCCGAGCTGCCGGTCAAAAAAATATGGGTCGTAGTATCTCAAAAATTCCTTATATATCTAACATTAAATTTCATTCTGAAAACCTTTACTTGGAGGTCGGAAGGTAATTGTCATAGTAAATTTTTGTGTTATTTACGTTTTTTTTATACAATTTCTTATGTTTTGCGCGTATGTTTTGTTGTACAAGATCCTGATCTTCAGCCCGGGATTTTCTTGACATAAGGGTACCCATTCGGATCACTAATAGTCCGGCGACTGAACCTCTAATACGTATCCATTTGCCACTTGTCCAGTACATTACTAATTAAAATGTAACTGATGCCTCAGACATTTAGATGCACATGTAGGGATAGTAACCAAAAATCCCGGATCTCAAATTTTAACATTGGCCTTAGAGTTTTATTGCACGGGTCTTATGTGACAACTTGTGCTTTTTTCATTTGGATATTGCACGGGATTGTTTACGTCAGCACGTGTAATAAGATAGTTATTGTATGAGTATATTGGATAACCTGTGTGTAACTAGATTATTTACTACATACACATACAATAACTATAATTTATTTTTCATATGTTAAAACCGATTTAGCATATGAAAATAAAACTGCTTCCAAATTCTACATTGGGCGATTTGTCATTATCTTTTAATATCCTCTCCGATCACAAATTCAGCTATAATATGTGTCATTCTTTTTTTTTTGCCTATAACCATTTTACGAGTATTCAATTGGATTAAAAACTCACTAGTCTAGTGCGACAGTTCCCCTCGATTTTATATACAAAATGTAGATATAATCTCAAAAATTGTATGATATTTAAAATGGGTACTGTGAAAGAATGCTTATTAGTTCTAACAAATGTATTAATTTAATCTAAAACAAAGAATAATAGAAATAGTAGTTCAAATGAAAGTATTAGTTTTATTAGAATCAATAGAAATATTAGAAACAGCTAGTAGAAATTGAAATAAAAAGGTTATAGTGTCTAAAATATATAAATAGTCTTTTCTTATAAAGCAACAGTTTAATTCAGTACAACTCGACAATAAATAGAAGTAATTGTGTTTCATATACGAATAACTTGAGTATTTTATCGAATAAATAATAATTTTTTTATACGACTACAACCAAATAATTAACATTAATATTCAAGAATTCTAACAAACAACTAGTTTTTTCTTTAAGCAAATCATTTCTAGTTTCAGCATTATATAGCAATATTAAATATCTTGGAATTACAATTACTTGAATTTTATTTAAAGATTTAGCATTAAAATTTTAACAAAGAACTATGTTCTTTTTTTTATCTTAAAACTTATAATCAATCTTTATTTAAAATTGTATTCTAATTATTGTTATAAATATGATTTAGATTTTACTATGTTTAGAAAAAAGTTAAATTTGTAATATATAAAAAAGAAACAGTATAGTTAAGTAAAAATAATATTAATTCTTTCAAAATAATTAGAAATTCATTTAAAAAAGAATGTACTATTTTAACATTATATATAAACTTAATAGTAAAATTTTTTTATATTCAATTTTATAAAAAATTATATTAAATAAACTAATTTAAAGAGGGGTGTGGCGACCTAGTAAAGTAGTCAGGTTGTCAACTCCCCAAGTGGTAGGTTGGGTGTTCAAATCCCATTAACAGTAAAAATTTAGATAATCACCTATGTAATATTTATATTATGGCAACTGTTACTAATAATTGAATTAAGACATCTGTAATGATGATCACACCAACATGACTGGCAGGTTATGAAGCATTTGTGCAATGTTGAAGTTATACAGAGAAATGCAAACTGACATATCAGGTGGTGCAAACACTAAATAAGTCCTTGTAGCTGTATAAATCCATTGAAATTAGGTAATAAGAAGTCTATTTGAAAAGACCTGAATAGAGAAATAGCTGAATCTTCAACAGTTCTACTGTAAAGGCTAACTTAGTAAAATGGATACTAAGGTCTAGTACTCAGTCCTAGTAGCTGAATGGACAAAAACCTCTGGGTTGAAAGTTTTGGAGGTATTACCAATCAAGCTGCCAGAATGAACCAGAAGAAAAGGATATTAGATCAATTTAATATACTGATGAACTAATAGTAGTCTTATACAGACTATCTAGATTGGAAGTTTGGTAAAAGGGCAGAGAAAAAAGCAGAGATATACTAAAGTACTAAGCTTATGATGTAAAGTAGATGTTAAGGTCTAAGTAAACTTTACAAGAGCATAGTGGTTTAATGGTTAGCCTTGATCACAAGTATTAGTTCTGCTATAGCAATACTTAGATTAGTTATAAAAATAGGTACAGAAGGCTCTAGGGGGTTTATCTTGAGGATAAATTAGTCCTAAGGTTAAGGATGATGATCTGGGTATCTGAGATAACTAGTGATGTTAATACAGGTTACAAATTCAAAAGATTTAAAGTGAAATATCCAAGTAGGGGTGTTAAATATGGCAATTAGTAGGGAACCTTTGGGTAGACTTTTTAAATAAGTAATATAGAAAAGTTACACATGTAGCCAATTGTATGCTCTTTTGTAATAGTTCATTGAATCATAATACCGATAAGTGATTAATAAAAGTCAAAAGACCAAAGAGATCATTTTAAAAATAAAAAATAAAAAAAATAAACTAATTTAAATTATTAAATAAAAGTCGTATACTTATTTTTTTAATTTAATAATAGTAAAATTATTAAAATTAGTCAAAAACTTATTAAAATATGAATTTTGAATATTAGAATATAAAATTATATAATAAAATTAATATAAATTTATATAAATTAACTAATTAAATTCTTTGATTTTGTACTATCTAAGCAAATTTTAATCAAACTAAGTAAACTTTATTATATATATAAGTATATTTTTTTAAAATAATATAATAGTTCAACATTTTTTTTTAATATTAATAGTGAGATTATGCTTCTATCTTTATTGAATATTTATTTAAAATTTTTATATAAAATATAAATTTATTTTTAAAAAT